AATAACATTTACTTGAGCTCTGACTGATTGTACACATCGTATCCTCTCCTTTAGTTATTTAGAAATTATTTTTTGAAAATCTTTTTGCAGATCCATAGTTTGAGTCTGAAATCAACAAAGTGTTCATCCAAATCTATCAAACCAGGGCTCTGGTACCAACTTGTAACATCCCACAAACCATGACAAAAGTTTTCATTTTTAATAAAACATATTTATAAAAACATAAGATAATCAACCATTATTTTTCAAATAAATTCCATAGAAATCAAAGTATCAACAATATCTTGAAACATAAAGTAATGGGAGGATGTGTTCCATCACGCCTTCTCTTTGCCCTGATCATTAGAAGTACCAGAAAACATTGAAATCAACAACTGTAAGCCAAAGTTTAGCGAGTTCCCTTAAAATACCCCATACAACAAGATATATATATATATATATATATATATATATATATATATATATATATATATGCATATAATGCATGAACACCAGGCCCACAACATAAGACTGGATTGCCCACAAGCCTACCGCATAAGTCTGGAATGCCCTATCGGTCATCAACTAATGATTGGATTGCTCCCAAGTTTGTTGGCTTACAACACGAAGCAATATTGTCTCAACCCAACAACACCATGTCAACATATGCAAAATATAATCAATAACCAGCAAGTATAGGTAATCATACAGATCTACCAAATGTAACAGATCACCACAGTATACCAACATCCCACATACAAGGACACATAATGTAGTACAATGTATAGTGAGAAAACTCACCTTACAGTCTAGCGGATAACAACACAACTCTTGTAAAGCCAAAAACTAGTACTACAGGTCACCTATACAACAATCATGGACTAATCCTTAAACTACAACCCAAAACCCTCAAATTGACTTAAAGTCAAACTTAGTCAAAAAATCAACGCTGAAAGTCAAAGTCAACATTCATAGGTCGTTTAGTTGTTAGCCAGGACATGGCCAAGCTTGTGCCATGTCTTGGGGGCTGCATGACAAAATAATCGCAGAAAACCCTAAAGCCACGTCGTAGAGACTATATCTCCACTCCGTAAGATCTGTCATGACCAACTTAATCCATTACGCTCTTAATCCTTTACCCAACTCATCTGTACTTTCTAGAAAGCTTTCTAACTCCTAAAAGATCATAAAAATCAGTGCTTTGTAGACATGCATGTACACTGCATGTCTTGAATTCAAGCTTGGTCAAAATGGTGTAAAATAAGGTCAAAATCTCATAGATGAACCCAAAACTTCACAATAGTTCAGATCTAGAACATATCTGTTGGGACTTCAAGGATCCATAAAGTTGCCAACTTTATAGGATCCATCCATTCAAACTACCTTAAACATGGAGAAAAGTGCTCAAAAGAATAGATCTAGAAGGTTTGGGATAAAAAGATAAGAACTTGTAGACTTACAAAGGCCCAAGCTATAGACAAGAGGGTGATGAAGAGCTTTGCTTGCTGAATCCTTGCGTTTGGAGCTTATATATTCCTTCTTCAAGGTTACAAACAACCACAATAAGATTCAAAATGAACCCAAGGAGGCTAAGGTTTGTTTCTGGTCTCAAAGGGGTGATGGAGGCTGAGGGTTACCAAACCCTAGCCATCACATCCTTTAAATAGGGCTCTAGGACCGAGAATTAGGGTTTTGCATTCCAGCGCTTGCCACATCATGGACATGCCTTTTCCACGCTGTGGTGCATCAAAGATGCACATTTTTCATCAGTTGTGACCACGTCGTGGTGCTCCTTCCACCACGTATGGTCACCAAAAATCCCTCTTTTGAAGGTCTAAAAATGACCGAGTCTCAACATAAGTATTCCTGGAACGGGTTTTAGAAATCGGCACTTAGATATGTGATTACTCAAATTAAGTTTCTCATTTGAACCATATAGGTAATTTATTATGAATAAAATTTTAAAGTGTATGTATTGTTATTATATAAAGTGTGAATTTACTTTATAGACACACAACATATCAGTAGGTTTTATTGATAATTGCATAATCTTTGAATGTGTTTTTGTTAGTAGAGATACATCAAATAAAATGAAAGAACTCTTGCTTCAATTGATAAATATTTGAAGTTGTAACCTCTTAGTAATAATATAGAAGTTTATTAATGGTTAATGGAAGTACATGTGGTTTAAAGATGACTACCTGAATGAAGTGTGTTAATGAGTGTTGAAGATCGATGTAAGAACATTTGTCTTAGCAAGCATGTAAGAGCATATGTATATGGGCTCACATTGATCCATCAAGAGGACTTCCTCTTCAGGAATGACAAATCCAAATCTGTCAGGTTCCTGATGAGTTCTATTGGAACGTCGTACAATTGGTGTGGTTTCTGACATATGAACAATAACTTTAGGTTCAACAATGCTTTGTTGATTAGCATTCTCAACTAAAGGATGTGTATCTCTGATTTCTTCGAGGTCAATTGGGCTCTCACTTACTTTATGCAAGATAAAGTCAGTTTCAAGAAACATTGCTTTACGGGCTATGAACACTCGATTTTCATCTTTCCGAAAGAAGTAATAACCCACGGTTTCTTTTAGGTATCCCACAAAGATACATTTATGAGATCTAGGGTCAAGTTTGTTAGAAGTTTCTCTTTTAACATATGCTTCACAACCCCATATATTTAAGAAAGACATTGATGGAACCTTTCCATGCCATAACTCGTAGGGAGTCTTACTAACCTTTTTAGATGGGATTGTGTCTACAATTCGAGATACGGTTTCAAGGGCATAACCCCAAAATGAATGAGGAAGGGAAGTATGACTCATCATTGATCGCACCATATCAAGTAGAGTACGATTTCTCCTTTCCGAGACACCATTATGCTGAGGTGTTCCCGGTGGAGTGAGTTGTGACACTATGCCACAATTTTTCAGATGTTCATCAAACTCATAGCTCAAATATTCACCACCGCGATCTGATCGTATGGCTTTAATTTTTTACCAAGTTGATTCTGTACTTCATTTTGGAAAACTTTGAAGACATCGAATGCTTCATATTTGTGTTTCATGAGATACACATATCCAAATCTACTTTAATCATCAGTAAATGTAATGAAGTATCTTCCACCGCTACTGGTCATTGTTCTAAAAGGTCCACATACATCAGTATGTATGAGCCCTAGTAGATCTGAAGCTCTTTCAGCAACACCGGTAAAAGGAGATTTCATCATCTTGTCACATAGACATGATTCACATACATCAAAAGACTCTGAGCCTGTTGACTCTAAGATCCCATCCTTTTGGAGCTTAGCAATGCAAGTTTTACTTATGTGCCCAAGTCGACAATGCCATAAATAAGTTTAATTTGAGTCTAACTTTGTTTTCTTATTTAAGTTGAACATTGAATTATCCTTTGTGTCTGAACCATTTAAATCGATTTCATATATTCCATTTTTGGGACTAGTCTCAAAATATAACACATTATCTTAAAACACATAAATGTTTTCAGAATCGAAGTCAAACTTATAAGGAAAACATTGTTCATACAAGCGAGAAGTAGAGATAATATTCCTAGTTATTCTAGGTACATAACAACAATTGTTTAAAATAAGAATAAGGCGATTTGGAAGCAAAAGATGATATTGTCCTATGGCTTTCACAGCTACACGATTGCCATTGCCAACATGAAGTTCCAAATTTCCATCTCTTACTTCTCTAACATTCCTTAGTCCCTGCAAATCATTGCAGATGTTAGTACCACTTCCAGTATCGAATACCCAAGAATTAGTACGTAATGAATGTAATTCAATCACATATACACCTGAGGTGCCAACCTGGTTGGATTTGATCTTCTTAAGTTCCTCTAGGTATTTGGGACAGTTGCACTTCCAGTGTCCCTTTTCATTGCAGTTAAAGCAATCAGGGACATCAGCTGGTTTGGGTTTAGGAGTTGGGTTAGTGGAAGGACGCTTCCCTTTACCCTTTCCCTTGCCTTTGCCTTTCTTGGCAACTTTGCCTTTCCCCTTACCGGTATTATTACCGGTTTTCTTCTTGGAGATTTGACCCTCACGGATCATCAACACTTGATTGTTCCCAGATTTCTTGATGTTTGCCTCAACGTTTTTGAGCAGGTTATGAAGCTCATTAATGCTCCTTTCCCAATCATTCCTTGTGAAGTTCATTACAAATTGGTTGAATGACTTAGGAAATGAGGCTAGGATCATATCGGTCGCTAGCTCATCCCCAAATGGGAATCCGAGGCGGGCAAGTTGCTCAACATAAGTTTTCTTTTTGAGTACATGTGCACTCACAGAAATCCTTCGGCCATCTTGAAACCAATGAAAGCATTCAAGGTCTCAAACCTCTCTTTCATAACCTGAATTTGAAACATGACACTCAGTTGTTCAATTATTTCAAACGCTTCATGAAACTCAAATTTTTTTTGAAGTTCGGGAGTCATAGTTGCTAGCATGATGCAAGCCACTTCGGTCGGCACTACTAGAAAAACAACCTTTTACGACGCACAATGCATGTCGTAAAACGCTCAGACAACGTGGAAATGCGTGTCAAGGAAGGCCCTGTCACAACTAGAGACGACACGCTTTTGCGCGTCGTCTATAGACGATGTGCATTTATGACGCACAGTTATGACACGCATTTACGAAGCTCACTTACGTCACACAATGCGTATCAAGGAAGGCCCTGTCATAAAGGAAGACGACACGCATTTGCGTGTCGTAACCTTACGATGCGCGTTTAGGACACACATTGCGTATCATTATAGCCCTTGTCATAAATGAAGATGACACGCATTTGCGTGTCATAAACTTCAGCAACCATTTACAATATGCATATACGACGTGCCTTTGCGATACTCTTTTAAGCATAATACAAAAATATAGAAAAAAAATATACACCAAAACAATCAATTTCATCTAATAACATCATGTCAAAAAATTGTAATGCATTGATATTAAAGGGATCTGATTGTAAATTGTTATTAAAAGGTTTTCCCTAACTATAAAGGGGCACGTTCTTGTTTCAGTAACTCATCATTAAGTTTTCTAAAGAAGCTCTGAAACCCTTCATGTATCCAACAAATCATCATGTCTCTTAGCTTCAATATCAATCCTAACTCTTGATCAAAAACAACACGGAAATCCTACACAATAATCATGTCAGTTGTACAATATCAATATCAACTAATTAATAATACAGAAGGTATGTATGAGAGTGGAATCAAAATGATCTACCAATAAGAGTTTTATACTGTCTTGAATCAAAGTATTTTTGGTGGCCTCAAGGGCAGCTCCCAAAGGATACTCCTTGCCTGTGCCATCTCCACTGCATGGAACATCACACAACACACAATTAAATAAAATTTCAGTCATACTCATACCACCCAAATCAGAACCATTTGTTGTATGATACATACTATATGTACAATGATGTAATAGAACAAAATGGAAGTAGGATGCTATAACACATAAGTAAATCAAAGTATGTTGTTGTTTCTTCCATTCAAAATCATATAATATAAGAAGTTTATACAGGCATATGTTATACTATTTTGGAGAAGAACTAGTTTCAAGGACAATAACTTACTATCAAGAACAAAATGGTCACGGTGTATATCCAGGAAAAATGGAGGTACCTGTGTGAGTGCAAATCAATATTAGATTACAAAAACTGAACAACATCATATTGCACTACAATATGCAATAACAGAAAATAGAATCAAAGTTTGTGCACCATGCTAACAGTCTCCTGCCTTGTAATGCTTCCAATTTCATTTTCTTGCTTTATGAACTCATGAAACCTGAAAGGTTGATTCAGAAACATGGAATGGTAAGAAAATATGAGCAAGAAGCACGTTTACATATTCTTTGAAAATATGAAAACTTATTGAAACCCAAATAAGATTATAATAATAAATCTATCCTACGATTATATGATAATGCAAAAGACATTAGAATGACATATTTTCAGTGGTGATATTGCAATTTCTCATTCCATTCCAAGATAAAAAAAGGGCATGAGATCAATCATCATAGACTATTTTAACTAGTCACATTGCATTCAATTACAAAAAACCCCTTGGATTGTAAGCAGAAACACAATTGACACCTCCACAAAACATGATATTTAGCAATTCAAGGACCGACACATTATGCAATGTGCACGAATATAAAAATCATGCAAACTAACTTGACTATTATTATGATAATGTCTTAAATAAACCTCATTTTCAAACCTCGGATATAGTAGACTTAGCTAAAGCTAAGCCTTCAGTGGTGCTTGCAGCCAAAAATAAAAAAAGAGATGATTTTGACTTCACAAAGTTGCAACATCTGAAGAAAGAGGATTTAAAGCTATTAATGAAAAAAAATCCTTTAATAAAGTTATCATAAGATTGTGGTTTACAATCAGAACTTAAAATAGATAAAATCTTTGATTTTAGCCTAGAAACCACCACCATAAGATGAGAGTCTTTGCATTGAGGAAGTTTCATCTTGAACCAATCAAAGAACACCACCTTCTTTGCGAAGATCATGCAGAAGGATAGAATGAGTATTGTTATTAGAAAGTGGAAGATAGATACAATTTCAGATAAGGATTTAAAGAGTAAAACCTTATTCTTAACAATGCATTCACGAAAGAGTTTTCGCTGGCAAAGTGAGTGAATAAACTGTAGAGAAGCCTCACAATGCAGGCAAAAACTGTAGACTTCATTAGCATTGTAAGTGTCAGTATGTTGAGCTGACAGCTTCACTTGAAGAAAATTAATAACCACACTGACAGAGGGGAAAGCTACACCCGTAAATACATCAACCTGAAAAATAATTTCAATAGATAATTAAAAACCTAAAATATAATTACTGAATCATAAATCATTGACTCATAAAAAAATGTTACCTTAGGGTGTACAAGTAGAACATTGGTAATGTCATGCCACTTGAAGATATACATGCTTGAAAGAGATAAAAGTTGCTAGCCAATAATACTGAGTGATAAAGAACCTCATTATTGGTTGGAGCATTAAGTTTCTGGATCACCAAAGTTAAATTTCAATGCAAAAATGTCGCTAGAAAATAAAATGTATAGAGGGCAGAATTAACCTGCTTAAAGTTGCTAAGAAAAACAATGATGAAAAATATCAAATCAAGAACACATGCTGATGAGCTCAAATCTTCAAACAGAACTTGCAGCAGGAAAAATCAGTTACTGGAATGTACAAGGTAAAGAAAATTGAACAAGAAGTAAGGGAAGGGAAGGGGCTGTCTCTTTTCTGACTTAATGGATTAAAAATTTAATATATGGTTATTCCTTTTTTCCTCTCTCTGTTTTTTTTGGATCAAAATAGTTTAGAAACGAAATAGTACAGGACTTGAATGTATACTTTTGCTTGTAGCAATCAACATATGAAGTATACTCAAGCGGACCAAGATACCCTTATTTCCTAGGAAAAGAATTTGCTGCTGTCATATCATATCTTACAGAATCAACATAAAACCTTTTTCCAGAATGAGCAGCAACTACAATTATTCCAACAAGATCCTGTGCATTGGTACAAGAATCAACCATCATCACTTTACCTTCTGTCAAATCCCAATCCCCATTAATATTATCATTGTATGATCGCATCACAGGAGGAACCAATCCAGATGCTTTCACAACATCAAACTGTGCACAACTCACCAAAAAACTGAAAAGCAAGCAAGACATGGAAGTATGCTCATAATTATAGATTTGTCATAATGTAGAAATGAATAAGATGAAAAATTATAAGTGATGTACATCATGTAATGACCACATAGCTAGACACCCCTACGCAACAAACCAAAGAAAACACAAATCAACAGCAAATATTCATTAGCAAAAACAAAAACAAAAAAAAGACAAAAATACCCTTTAGGTTAACAGGGGAGGCCGTCATTCCTAAAACAGATGGAAAAGAAGAGAACAATCTTCGAACCTAATTTAGGGAATAAAAGAATCTTTAAAGCTTTAATGGTTATATCATTATTAAAATAGAATACTTGTAAGAGTATTTAGGGAATACAAGAATCTTTAAAGATCTCACGCTGTATCAAAATTGACGGGTATTCAGAGAGCCCGAAAATAAAATAACAAAATGATAAAGTAAGAGAAAGAAATCTAGGGCACATACATGGAGAAGAAGAGAACAATCTTTAAACCAGATGCCTCCTCCGTTTTTGTTTTCTGCTTTCTGATGCTTCCGATCTTACCTTGAACCTCCGACTTTTGATCCCAAATCTGACTTGCAACCTTCGATTTCCGATCTTCAACCTCTAATTCGAGTCCTAGCAAGAATGGTTCCTGTGATTTTGTGGAACTTAGTATAGTTAAAAACTAACCCCTGTATTCTATTCTAATATCGAAAATCAAGCTCAAGATAACATATCAGAGAAGAATCAAAATACAAACAGTAGCATATCATGATGGTGGGTTTTGTTATCGGTGTAGTGTGACAGGAAAGAATGGTTGGAGAAAATGTTCGGAGACACTTGGCGGTGTGAGATCGGAGGTTGGGTGGTGGTGCGATGCTGCTATGAAGAAGAAGGCCCTAAGGCTTTTTCTTGCTAATTGGCAGAGGCGGGGGGTTTTAATTTTTGGGATCCAATAGGCAGGTGAAATCCGGCCATAAAAACGCATGTTTCATTAAAAAAATATAAAGCGACACACCTAGATGACACACATTTTATGAAAGGCGCCCTCTGCATTTCCTTTTTTTTCTTTTCTGACACTAATTTTAGGGCACGCACAAATGCGTGTCCTCTATCCTTCAAATTTTGCTAAACTGACATTATTTTTTAGGGCACGCACAAATGCGTGTCCTCTATCAGCGTGTGTCATTGTTTGCGCGTCATTAAATGGTTGTTTTATAGTAGTGCGGGGTAGTCATCTACAAAATAATAAGATTCATTTTAATATCTTCGATATACATTCTTTTAAAAAATAATTACCCTTCAAATTAAATTTTGAAAAACTAAGATCCACATCACCCAAAATAACTTGAGGAGGCGACCCACTACTCAAGTGATTTTGTTGATCGATAGGTTACGATAACCATTTACAACTCTTATGTAATTCTTAGATTCATGGGATCCAAAAACATTACTTTGTTTTTATATGGCATGTTCATCCCATCTATGCCTCAAAACTCTTATGCTTAGGTGACATTTATCACATAAGAAATTGATCAAATCATCCATTTAAAAAACGTGTGAGTTTTATTTCACAAATGGTTAGGTGACCTTTATCCCATAAGCAAATAGAAAAATACCTTGACTATTTTGGACAACTCAAATGAATAAGGTGACCCTAATATCCATATGAGCTGCACAAAAATCCCAAGTGATTTTTAAATGGATTGCATAGATTTGAAGTTTTGTAAATAAGGGTTTTTATCAATGTTTTATTATTCTAGCATTTTAAAACATTTTGTATCATGAATATTTCATGCATAAAATATTTCATGGTACATTTAAAGTGTTCCAAATAACATAAAGTTGAATTGATTTCATATAAAATTTTTACCGGTTAAAATTTATATTCAATTTTAATTCGACGTTATACGGATTGAAACTGGTTTCTAACTTTGTTAATAAAACAACCTTTTACTATTAAGTTATGGAGTTTAGATTAAGTTTAAAAAATATTTTAAACTTTTTATATCTTTAAAAGTTTGGCTACTTTAGAGTTTTTTTTATTATTTTATTATTTTTTATTTTTTTAAACAAAAATATTCAAAAACTCTTTTTAATAAAAACTCAGTTTTGACATCTTATGTTCAAACTTTATATAAAACTCTAAACCCCAAGTTTGATGTTAATTTTTTTTTTAAAAATGTTTAGCATGGAAAACATATTTTCATCATTTTATAACAACAAAAATAAACATCACAAGCATGCATTTAAAATGTATAAACAAAACCATTTTCTAGTAGTATTTATTGTGAGCCATCACAACAAATATTAAGTCATTTCTTAAAGGACTTATTAGCACACTTCAAGGTCTTCAAAAGGATCCATGTCTTCATAAAAACTTCATGCTCAATCTTGTTACATTTTATAAAAATAGAATACAACTAGTCTAAAACCAATTTATTACATATAAAATGAACAAATTAAATAATACCTATTTATCTATTACATAATCATATGAATAAATATATACCAACCACAAATGTCCTAATGGCTTGTTTACACATAACAAACATATCAAACAAAACAACTCTTTGTTTTTTCGAAGACAACTTTTATATAACCAAAATGCATGAAAAATGGTTATATAAAAAAATAAACACTTTTAACAACAATTTGCCAAAGAAAACAAATATGGACATTTATTTAGCCAAAAAGAAATCAATGCTTGTTTTAAAAAACAAAAGATTATTATAATATAAAAAATCAGTCTAACATTTAAAAGATGACTCTGATACCACTGAAGGGTTTTGTTGCATAAAATAAATAGTTTTTCACAAAAACCAGCAACAGAAGCTTTAAAAAATTTCTTATAAATTTCGAGTATGAAAACAAAACAAACCATCAAGGATCCTTTTAAAGAGGTTAGAATGATATTATAAAAATCACAGGGTGTTTAGAAAATACAACCTTTGTAGCCTTTGGACCCTCTTGGAATTGGGGTTGAAGTAGATGGCATGAAGAAGGAGCTTGATCTTCTCTAGAAGTAATTCACCAACAAGAATAAGGTACCAAAATTGATAGATTTCTTCTTGTACAACTTTGTTCTATAAGACTTAAGTGCATAAACAATTAAGAACTAAAAGGAAGACACAAAGTAAACACCAAAAGCTTGTAATGTCTTCAAAAGAGGAAAGAGCTCCACGCTCCTTAGTAGCTCACGGTTTTGAGAGAAAGAGAGGAGAAGTTTTTAGACCAAAAAACTTTTGTCTTCTTCATGCATAAGACCCTCTATTTATAATCCCATCCAAGCATGGATTTTTAATATTATATTCAAAAGTATGAGCTATAAAGGGAGGAATGGGGAACTTTATCATGGAGGTTGACAAGCAACCTCCATACTCCTTACAACTTTCGGCCCTTATGGCTAAAATAATAAAATAATGTTGACTAGTCCTTTAACCATGGTAGAGTAAGGATTTGTTTTAATCATGGTTAACCAAAGTGTTCAAAACTTTTTACATGACTTATTATATGATACCTTATCATATAAGACTATTTTTCTACTTCTTACAATATTGTTTTCATAGAACAATAACTTTTCTCTAATTAAATACAACATTTGAATTCATTTATTAATATCAAATATATAATAAATATGCAATAAGTACCAACTTGATTAAGGTGTGACCCTATATGATCATATGTTAATAGCAATGTCACTCAATAATGATTCTTGGGCATATTGATCCAACAAGCACTTCTCAGGAACTCTCGTGAATGGAATTGTGCTCTAATACCACTTGTTGCAAACCAGTGATAACAATCGATTCGACTCACATTGTTTGATGCATTTATTCAAGTTCAAATGGGCTTTTATAGCCATTACAAATAACAGAAAGAACGAGAAAGACTCAAAACATAACAAATTTGATATCTTCCCTAATTCTCGTTCAACACGAAGAAGAAGGGAACAACCTGGTACTTCGGATTACTAAGTCACACTGACTCTTGGCTTTGGTCCTTATTTCAAACCAACCTAAAAACGTGGGCTAACCTAAAACATTGAGATTTTCCCAATAAAATTAACAAAAGAAACACGCGGTAGGTACAATTCTTCCAAGACATCTTGATAGAGAGTGTTGCGTGCATAATAGAGCTACAAAAAACAAGGTTTTAGATAAACGTAGTTTACAAAAATATGATACCCACATTTCTAGGTAGTAACATTAGGGTTTTTTTTTTTTAATAATGTATGCTCATTTTCAATTGGTTACTCATGTACCTAAATATAAAACAATACAATTTATGAAGCCAATAAACTGTAAACCAAATTGATGACTCACTTTAATCCAAGATAACCCCTTTTACTTTAATGAACAACTTACATTTTGTGTCCCTAATTACAAATTATTTTCTCAAATTTGGTCCCAAAAATTTCAATACTATCAAATCATTGAACTTTCAAATTTTCCCTTTTTTTGGGTCATCATAATTTGCTTGGTTTTTGGATGACATTTCCATATTTGGGTTGCTTTTGTCAAGTAATAACAAGAAATCAAGACAAAATTGCAAAAATGGTCCCTGTGGTTGGCAAAATTCTGTAGTTTTGGTCCAAAATGAAATGTTGGTGCACCACTGGTCCAATTTTAGATACTTTGTGTGGTTTTGGTCCCTATGGTTGTATTTTCTTGTGTTTTTGGTCCACATCCCACCTAAAATGACTAATATGCCCCTTAAATAATTATATTTTAATTTCTTTTATTTATTTTCTTATTCTTATAATAAAATGAAAAACAAAAACAAAATAAACCCACCACTCTCTCTCTCTCTCCCCCCCTCTCTCTCTCTAAATCTCCATCTATCATGAACCATGGGTTGTGCTGGTGCGTCGGTGAGCCACCAAGACAACAACCTCATCTTTCGCACTTATCTTCTCCTCCCGTCGAGCAAACTCCATTAAACCCCCACCTGCTTGCCTTGTTCCATCGGACCATTCTTTTGTCCACATTCCCTTCGAGTTTCATCGTCGGATGCCACCTCAGTTTTTATTTCTTC